ATACATATTTAAAACCTGAGTATTTTCTTCAGCATAAATCACACATTTCCCGCAATTCCCAAATAAAGATAGCAGTGTCCTTGGAGTTCTGCACATCAATTTAGAAAACACCCAGAATGTTATTAGGAATCATTTTCTCATACCCAAATGAGTAATTCAATTATATTTTGCTACACGATTACTTACAGGAGCATCATTAGTTGGGTTTTCTGTGTTTGTTTTTAATAACAATTTCTCACTGAAATTCACCTCAGATTTCACAACCCAGTTAGTAACCCCAAAATTTTATACAACATACGAAGAGTGAGGTGCAAGAACAGGTTTCATGAAAACAAACTGCGAACTAAAAGCGTTGTCTAAATTAGCTTTTAGGATAGGCTGAGAAGATGACAAAACCCACTCTGAAGGGTATCAGCGTCACAGTCATGAACCAGCTCTTTTCAAGTCAGGTGCCCAAGACGCTGACTTCAAAGATAAGGCAGAAGGAGAAACGAGTGATGCCAGCGTCAGTGGTATGGGTTTTTTACCCAATTTTCCAATATGTAGCATTCTAATTTGGAATGTGGGAGATTCAGGTTCAGATCTCTCTTCAGTCTCGGCATCTAAAAATGCAATTCCTGGTTCCGGTATGAAGGCACCTAGCATAGTAAAGGTCTTCTTGGTGCCTCATACAAAAACAATTCTCCTTTGCACATCACCTGATCAAGAAAGGATGTGACTGAAGACATAGAAAAGTCTTCCTCTCTTCCATCAGAAGGGAGGATTTCAATCACCCATCATCATTCCATAAAACTGAGAGCTTAGATTTTTAAATAACCTGTACTGCTGACAGCAGCAGCAGACAGCAATTAAGAGGTGTAGATCTCAACAGGACTTCAGCAACAAGTCTCTGATCAACAGTAATGCCCATGGCAACAAGCACATCAGCTTTGTTGAACAAATTCTGAAGTCCTTTTCCCTGCCATCCCTTGGTTTTACCATAACATAAGCAAATCAGAGACCTGTCGTGGTTTCTCTTTACAGTTCGTAAATCAATGTACAAGTTTGTTGCTCTGCAATGCTGAAGGTACTGAGAACAGGTCAGAGATGAATCTCCCTGTTAAGAGAAGAACAAGTAGGATTCTATCAATAACAAAAATTATGTTTAAAAGTAAGTGAGAAGTATATCTATCAGAAATACCTACTGTTGCTGCAGGCTTACAATGGGTTTTCATTTCATTGAGCCTCTCTTGAATGTAACCAAAGTCAGCTTGTTTCCAGAATATCTGTTGGGCTGTCTCAATGTCACTTGCCCTGATGTATGAAGGAGAGAGAAAAAAAAAAAAAAAAAATCAAGGTCCGTTGCTCAGTTCTAGTAATAACTTTAACAGATAACATTTTTTTCCACTGAAAGTGGAACAGAAGAGCCAGCCAGTTACTTTATTGACATTTAAGATGCAAAACAGGAAGCAACTTATCAGCTGCATGTAAGTGAAAACGTCAATGACAATTTAAAGCTATTCTCCCGTAAAAGGGTATAAATTTTTTTTTAACATTTTTCCTCTGTTTTTAAAGCTAAGAAAGGAAATCCAGAGTTATTTTAGGAATCTGAATTCAAGGCTAAATCGGAATAATGAAAACATTGTGGCAGGAAGCATTTCAAACAATATTTTCTTCCTTAAAAAGTTAAATTTTTAAAATCATGTTGAAAGACGTTATCTATAAATACACACATACATATACACGTATCTCCACAAAGAATCATCCTTCAAGCTCTAAAGTTCACAACAATGTTAACTTCACAGCTAATATGAAAGTGAGCACTATACTCTTTTTTAACATACTGTACTTTATACATTTAAAATGAAACTTACCATCCAGTTTCAACATAATCACACACTGGGTAACTGAACCTGTAATCTGATTTGCAAGATTTCTCATAACCCCAGCAGGATCTTAGTTTCTTCAAGTATTTCTGTAACACAGAATAACTGAATCAGGTTACGTGACAGCAAAATGGGAAATGACTCAAGTTAGTTGTCAGCTTATAAACCACCTCTTGCTAATAAATCTTGCGTTAAAGGCTTTCGATTTGGTCTGTTTTCAAACGGAGTTTCAGAAAGAACACTCAGATTCTTTATGCACAACAGAGGCTCCAAAGAGGACACGCATGCACAGCAACATTATCCTTGTCTTTAACATGTCTGTTCCAGGACACCCACTTTTCCTGACCCAGTGAGTAGGATTCCAAAATTTTAACATCTCTGACAGATACAGATACCAAAGCTAGGCTCACACAAAGCACAGTGCTCCAGGCTGAGGGTACCACTGCTCCCCAGGCAAATCTAGAAACATCAGCTTCCGCAGCGCTGTAGAAAGCCAGAGAAGGGGGAGCGCAGCTCCCACCCCCAGCAGCTCCAGCCTGAGAGACACCAGAATTGCTCCGGAGCCACACGCGGCCCGGATCCTCAGGTTCACTGTCCCTGCTTCAGGTGAATGAATTATATGCAACCGCAGGGTAAGATTAAATCAGCGTTTCATTGATTTGCCTATCCTCTTGGCGCTTCCGCAGAAGTACTACAGCATGCTAAAAATCACAGGCCTAGAAATTACTAACTGTACTTAGTTCAAACACCTTTCACATGCGCAAGAGTCATTCAGATTAAGATCATCATTTCAGCTCTGCAACAATTAAAAGGAGGGGGGATAAACATCTTGCAAAACAGGACGTTAAAAATCCAGCCTTGTGACAGCGTCAGATTCAGGAAGAGCCCCGTACAACTATTTCAAAAGCAACAATTCCAATTCCCGGTGGAACCGACCCATTGGCAAGGAGACCAATTCATCACCATCTTTAACTGCTATGACTCCAAGAACAAACCACCCCAACATTACATTTGAACAAATGGACAAAAAAAAGCAAACCTACTTTATATGGGCAACGAGAGTCCCGCTTACAGATGCCAGCAATATGCTGATTATTGTGCAGAAAGTACGGAATATGCTCATCTGGCAAGTTGATAGCTTTGTAGCTATATAATGGCTCTTCTGGAATGTTTTTGAATTCAGTAAGATTTTCAGCTTGGGAATTAGCCAGGACTTCTTGCAGTAGCAATCCAAACGCAAGCAACATGAACATGGCAACCTATGAGTTCTGTACTTATAAAAAAAAAAAAGACACTTAACATATCTGCAGCATAGCAAATTTCAAGCATACAAGACAATACTCAGCCAAAGTCAGTCATATACTCAAAGAATTTGTACTTGTATTTCTGAGGTGGTTTCTTTTTCCTATGACAAGCAAACTTTCACTAAGAGGCTAGACTGTACAACCTCAGGATTATCTTTGGCTCATTAGTCATTGAGGGTTATTACGCACTACCAACTCACAGTCAGACTAAAATGGGTGTGTTTACTTCAGCTACATCCCAAGGGATCCTGAGAGTTCAAATGTGGAAACTAAGTATAGAGCATATAATATCCTGTCAGCGGGAAGAAAATGTAGAAATATGGGGGGGGAAGGGTGAGAAAAGGAGGAATTTTAATTTAAAAGTAAGTATAAAAATAATACATTCTCCACTTTGGAAGAAACTAATCATTAGCTGAAGGAAAACTATGCAGTCACAAATAAATGGTCAAACTTAAGCCTGTTTCAGGATGCCTGTTTTTAGTAGTTAACATCACGTTAAAGAAACTTTGAATACTGAGTTACATACTCAAAATTAACTACAGGCCCATACATATCTATATACTCTGACGCAGACTGGATACCCTTCTGGTAATACAACCTTCTCATCAAACACCCCTCCTTTGAACCATTAAACTTCCTGAGAAAAGAATGGATGGCCTGTATCTAAAAAACCCCTTTTGGCATTGTAATTTGCCAAAATTTGCATGCTTGCTTGCAACTGAAGCCTTTAGCAATATTCCTACAACACAAGTAGTTTTACCTGTTTGGTTTGAGGAGAACTGCTTCAGATTTCCCAAGTACACAAACCTAGTGGTCGGGGGGGAGGAAAGCCGAGTTAAATCCGTCCTGCAAAAGGAGGCTTCCTCAGAACACAGTCCTGCTCCTTGGGAAACGTTCACAGCAATGAGAGCAACCTTCCAACAGCCCGGCAGCGTTTCTGACCCGTCCCGGTACTCGGATCCCTGCAGGAAAGCGCTTCCCTTTCCCGACGGCACGCACCCCGGGGCGTGCGGGGGGGATCTCGGGAGGATCACACCGCATCCCATCCCCAGCTCAACCCCAACGCTGCGCCGCGGTGTCCGGCTCCCCAAAACGGCCTTGCCCCTTCCCCACCCGCTGGGCCAGTCATTTACGGGAAGGGCGCCCGACACCCAGTGCTAGTGCCAAGTCCATACTGGACCCAGAGCTGGACCCAGCCTCTGGGCCCGCGCTGGACCCGATGCCTGGCCCACGCTTGGCCCACGCTGGCCAAGCCCGTGCTGGACCCGGTGCCAGGCCCACA